AAAATACCACCATTCGATTCAGTGAAACAATATCTCCTAATACCTATCGATAGTTTTAGTCAAATATAGTTTTAGCAAAATTGTATAACTATTTATGACCTTTGGACAGGTCAAACAGTGTCATATTTCATTATATTAATCAATTGTCTCAACAATGTAAACTATCCATACCTTTTGCCGAACATAACTTCGGCCCCTTTTGAGATATCGTTTTCGCTATAGTCTTATTCGAAACAGAATCCAAAACACTATTGAAAGTGTTATTTTCAAGCTTGTAGCCTTAGTTTTTCGTCTTTTATTTCCGTATTTCAATCTGTTACGAAACTAATGAAATCAGTGGGATATTTTTAACCGGAAATACACTTTAGATCGCCCAAAACATTGCGTGTTTACATCCTAGCGCTCGGAAAACATCGGAAATCGATTCTAAAGGTCAAATTACATCTGGAGCGTGATTTCACGTGCATTGGGCTACGGCATACTCCTTATTGGCCAATTTTACATGCAGCACGCGCGTGCGAGTAAAAACCCGATGAAACCCGATATACTAAAAAATTCCAAATAAACATTTCTACTCGTCGTATTCAAACGAAATTTTCTACATAAAAGCGCTTGAATACAAGGAATATTTCACTAATATTAACTTGTGGCGAAATCTGAAAGGTTTAGAAAATATTCAACTTTTTCTCCATATGAAAATACAGAATGTTTGGCCAAGCGGTGAGTAAATATATGATTGTTTCAGTTTGTGTATTTGTTTTGATGGCATTAGACCCCCCGATGAAAAGCTTATTTTGCTAGGATTTCAATGGTGTTCTTTGTTTTTAAGGGGGGTGAATACGCGCTGAAATATTTACGTTATAAAACAGTTAAATCAAAATGTTGCTTGCCGTGAAAAATGTCGCATGTCGAGAAAGAGTTAAAAAGGCATTAGTGAAGTCTGCATTTACTTTTGAAAATATTCTGTTAATAGAATGATGACAGAACAAGCAGGAACGCTTCAAATTTCATTTTTCAGCAGTGAAATTTGCATGAGCGAAAGCAACAAGCAAAATGCCGGACTGGAAAACAGCCTTAAGGATTAGTGTCACACCGGGAATTCGCAGGCTCAAACTCCTGCTGGCGGCCATTTTTCGGGACGAATAGATTGATGATCTGGGAAGTTTTTACAATCCGTCATATATTTAAACCATCCTTTTATAATACTTGCTCATTTTGTGTTATTTTTATCAGAAATGTACCAAAGAAGGTACTTTTATCACTATTTGTTGTATTTAAGTAAAATGTAAACAGTAACAAAACCCGCAATGCATGACCCTGACACTAATCCTTTAAACCATGTCAAAACTTGAGCCTATTAAATTGGACATTTGCATTCTGTGATCTTGCGCACACACAGTTGAAGATATACGAAATCCATTAAATAAATATTGCTTATAAGCAAGTAACAAACAAGATATCTCAGATGCATGTATTACTTATCCCAGTAAATCACGTAAAATTAAACAAAAGTTAGAAAGTAACGAAGTAGTTTGCCACAAAATCAAAATAACAAAGTAAAACAGTACTTCTTAAAACGACTTCATACCCCCCAAAAAAGTTTACTTTGTTACATGCTGATTTCTCAAAAATTGTATTTAAGTACAGTAACTAAGTACTTTGTTACTTGACACCACTGACCAACACCCACATACACAGGCCAAGAATTTCCAATCCCCACCCAGAAACCATTCAATGTGGAACATTTCTTGGGCCGCAGAAATGTGCAAAAGTGTTCCAACTTCTTTACAGATATCACCCAATACAACACACAGATGATCATATTTTTCAGGTACCTTGTAATTGCAATTAGACAGTTCCCCTCTGCTGACATAGCTTGTGATCCTTCTTCCAGAATGGTAATTGTTACATTTATTTCATGCAAATGTTTGCCAACATTAGTTCCATCACCTGATAACTTCATACAAAGCCCAGTTGAATTGTAATCAAGACCCAACGTTTTGACACTCTAGTGTCTTCAACAGGGGTGATCTAAAGTTGCAATGTGGCTTCTTAAATACCCAAGGGATGACGTCATCTGTACCATTAACACCACATACTTTGTGTTGGAGGGCAGTTATGATCAACAGGTTTTTGGAACATTTCTGTTATTTGATTGACACAGTCACCATCCGAACTATCACTAGACAACATACTAGAAAACATTTTTGGAATTTAGAGTTTGTCTGCAACCAGGTATATCAATCATGTTTCGCTCGCTACTCTGGTTTAAATAAATGATTACAAAACCCAGTTGAATTGTAATCAAGACCGAAATATCCCAGTTGACCTTGCCATCGAGGTTGCGACAAAAAGACTAAGACGGGATGCCACTTTGTTACAAAGAACATCCTTGCCTGTAGAAGATATTATTGATCATCTGTCTTTTTGTCTCAACGCCACATACTTTGTGTTTGAGGGCTGTTATTATCAACAGGTTTTTGGAACAGCGATGGGGTCACCAGTATCAGCAGTAATTGCTAATTTAGTAATGGAAGATGTCGAACAAAGAGCTTTAGCCTCTGTTCCGGTATCTCTATCGTTTTGGAAACGTTTCATCAATGATGTCATCTCTGCGGTTTCTAGAAATGAAATCGATATTCTGCTGCAACATTTAAATTCTATTGAGCCGTCCATCCAATTCACAATAGAACGCGAGATAAACGGACATTTAGCTTTTTTAGATTTGAATGTGCACAGAACTGTGGAAGGGAAGTTAGAGACTGATGTTTATCGCAAACCCACACACACAGACAAATACTTGTCATACGACTCTCATCACCCAGTAAGCCATAAAAGATCTGTAGCAAAAACTTTGCTTCAAAGAGCTGAATCCTTGCCATCAAACAGTGATTCTCAAGCTAATGAACGTGAATATGTTCTGAATATTTTAGGGGAAAACGATTACCCAAAACGTTTTCTTAATGATTGCCTGAGATCACCTGTTTGTAGGAACCAAAATAACTCCGAAGGTGATACCCCTGTTAAGGGTTATGCAATAGTTCCATACATTCAAGGTGTCACAGAACCAATCAAGAGAATCTTAAGTAATTGTAATATTGAGGTTGCCTTAAACCCTATTTGACTTTAGGCCATATTTTCACAAAGCCAAAAAATCCTGTTAAAACAAATAAAAAAACTCATGCTGTATATTCTATACCATGTGGTGACTGCGAGAAAGAGTATTTGGGTCAGTCTAAATGCCAGTTTGGTACACGGCTAAAAGAACATCAAAAGGCTGTTTCAACTTTAGACAAGGGAAAATCAACTTTAGCCGAACATGTTTGTTACACCAAACACGAGATTGCGTGGGAAAACTCTAAGTAATTACCACAAACAATCACTATGGTCAAACATTTGCCTAGAAGCACGGCGGTTGGTTGCTATGCATTTTGCTCCCGGAAGCGCGGGCTTCGTTTTTTCCAGCGGTGTTGGTGTGAATGCGAAATGGCGTTGTTTATTAACCTTATAATCGGAAAGGTCATGTATTTGGCTTAAAATTTCTTGTGGTTAAAACAAATTTGTTGGGTATATTTTAAATGATTTATAAACTTCCATATTTAAATGGAACAAATGTGATAACTTTATTTAGCTGTCAAATAACAATCGGAACTGCCGTCGAATAACTCTAGCCTGTGGCACAGAGAATATATCATATTTGCTCCCGTATAGTTTATCTTTCATATTATGGAACGCAAACCAATGTACAAACTGTTCCTCTTTTCGCCTAAAGTCGTGTTTCTTCATCAGTATATGCAGGTAATTTTGGGGAAATTATCTGATGCTGCTAATACATAACATATATCGATTTAAAGTAACATACCGACAGCCGGACAGAGAAACATACCAACGGCTGTTTTGGTTAGTTGCGTCAACAAATCTAGTCTCGCAAGAATTTGTTTGTTGAATATGTTCTATTATAAAATGCTTTCATTTTATATTTGTGTATGATATATTTTTGAGATATTCATATATAAACACATAGTTCCATTGTATAGATGACAATATATATATAGCAGAATTAGATACAATGCAATCATACTTGCCAAGTATACTACAGCCTACCACAGTTTATAATTTATACTGTGCAAGATCCGTAACCGCATAAAATAATAGTAACATACAGTATACTAGTGATTTAAATTCCTTAAGATATGCAGCTTTCCCTGAAACAGATTTCATGTCTTTGTGCACACTTTATTTTATCATTTAGTTACAATGCCAAACATTTTTCATGATGGTTTTCCCATAGATGATAGTACATCTGCCACTATATATCAGATTACCAAGGCATGTTGTCTTTAAATAGCGAGAAAACGGCTCCCTCATCGCCGCTTAAATAAAGGCATGTGCAACTGATTTCTTTTGTAAACTATAACTCAATCTTCTGTAGTATATTATAGTAAGGGCATAATGGGTAAAGATAAGTATAGGAGAGTTTATAAAGCTACAATCCTGGCAAAAATTATCGTGGACAGCACGTGCGTCAAACAAATATAGATATATTTCTACATAATTAATCCGCCAGAAAATTTCTCCCCCTCCTACCCCCAACTCAATGTTGGTAAATGAAACTTTTAAAATTTGAATGCGAGAAACAACATTGAATAGGGGGCAGGGGGTGACAAATTTCACGAAAGAACATCTCAATGTTAATATTGGCGTTAGAAAAGTTAGGTGTCCACATAATTTTTGCCAGGATTGTCTGAAAATGATCTAAAAAAAATATCCATAATTTTCACCCAAAACAGGCCTTTTACTATAAATTTTTGATGCTGCCAT